ATTTTTATAGACAAGTATATATTTAATAATAGTAATAATTGATTAAACCTATATGCCACTTGATTCTCAACAACTCCGAAATTCTGCAAACTCTCACTTTTAAACATGTTTGCAGTACAACAATGTTGATAAGGACTGGGAAGGCAACTGATTGGGGCAACTGAGAAGAATTTTTATGCAATGTCACAAGCACTCTCACAAAACGGTAGTCATGAGGAGGGATCTGCTTATTTACAGAACTGCAATGGTAAGAACATAAGCATAAGCAGGGCCCTGCTGGATTGGACCCCTGGCCCATCCAGTCTAGCAGCCTGTTCTCACAGAGGCCAACCAACTGCACAAGGAAGCCCACTAGTCTCCCGGGAGATGGCCTTCAGAGCCAGTCACACTGCCATCAAGGCTAATGGCCACTGATCCCTGTAACTTCCATGAATCGCTCCAATCCTTTTTTGAAGCCAGCCAAGCTGGTGGCCAGCACATCTTGTAGTGAATTCCAAAGTTTAATTAAGCATTCCGTAAAAAAAAATTCCTTTGTCTTTCCTGATTCCAGGAGTAACCTCCAGAATGTTATTTACTATTCCAGGTTATCTTTTACTTTTCTTTCTACAGGGCTAGATGGAAAATCGCTCCAAGCAATTTCTAGATAAACTGAAGATGATAAAGAATGGGTAGTACTAATAGGATAATTCTTCACTGCAGGAAAGCAACCTTAACAAGCATAGTAAAAGAGGGAAGACAAAAGAGTTTGCAAAGGTGATCTGCGAAGTACGTCAGCATGTGGAAAAAGGTTTTCCTTGAAGTGTTAAGGCAGTCACTTCCTTAGAAGGTTCCTACTGCTCTGAAAGCTTTCCCCACTTCTCTGAGCATAAACACTTCCCTTGGGACTGCAATGGAGAGGTCTGTACATGCATGCAAGTGCAGGAGGCCTCTGAAGTGGCTGTGTGATCCTTCCAAGACTTGCTGTAATGGTTCAATGAGAGATGCCTGGCAAATCACATTTGTAAAGTGCATCTTTAAAATGCTTCACACAACTCCAAAAACTAAACCACTTCCGCTCATGAGTGATTAACAATGCATCAAGAGATTCAAAAGGTACAAGAATTATCACATGTTGTACAGAGAGGCAAATGAATGTTTGTGTGATCAAAGAGAACAATTTCTAGCAGCAACATCAGCCTTTTGCAAGCAGATAACCTTTAGTTAAATTGGAACTTGCAGTTCCAATAAAATCTGGAATGGTTTCAGACTTGGAGATAAGACTACACCAAATCATATCAATCATGAGAATAAATACACAAGGTCACCTTGCTCTAGTTTCCTATTATTTGCAACTTATTATAATTCTGCATAGTTATGTAACTCCAGTTATAATATATGCACAGTTTTCTTAAAATTTTTAAGCCAGTGATCAGCTTTTTGAGTACAAGTTGGCTCAGAAAAAAAAAATTCTAAACATTTCTGTGAGCTACAGCACCCTCCACACAAATCATAGTGGTTTGAAACCAATGAATAGCATATAGCTTTTAAATTAGTTAAATCAGAATTCTGAAATTTAACAGCTAAGAAAGCAGTATAAATGAATCCTTTGAAAAAACTCTCCAAGAATAGCATGCATGCTGTGTCTACTACCTTTAGAATAAGAAAATGCTTGATGAATTAATCAATACACAGTGTATTTTTTTTTTTTCATAACTCAAGATCACAGTCTTGGGCTGAATCAGCAGCAGCACTGCATCAAAATCCATGGGAAATTGTAGTTCTGCTTTAAGCAGCACTGGTCAGACTGTTCCTAATATGTCCACTTCTGATTGTCACAATACAAGGATGCTGAGGAACTGTAAAGAGTATAGAGAGGATCAACAAAAATGGTGAGGATGCGGGAGGCTAAGTCCTATGAAGGAGAATTAGAAGAACTGGGTATGTTTAGCACAAAGGTGGAAAGGTTAAGGAGAGACATGACATAATAGCAGTCTTCAAACACTTGAAGTATCTTCACAGGGAAGAGGATGTAGATTTATCTTGGATTTATCTTCCATTGCTCCTGAGATTAGGACAAGAACCAGTGAATGGAAGCTTTTTAAAGAGAAAGCTAAACTCAATTTAGAAGATTTTCTTGACTATGAAAGCCCATGAAGCAGTGGAAGAGCCAGACTCCTGAAGTTGTGGGGGGCTCCATCATTGGAGGTTTTCAAGCTAAGGCTGGATATGGTCTGAAGATTCCTGCCCTGGGCAGGGGGCTGGATCAGGAGTCCAAGATCCCTTCCAACCCCATGAGTCTGTTTCCTTGTGTACATATTTTTTCAGAGTGATGTATACATTCATACTGACTTTTCTAGGAGGCAGATTCATGGTCTGGCAATACTGGTTAAATTATAAAGGAAGAGAATTCATCCACCTTCTTTTCTATGACAGCCCCCTTAGACACTGTTTTTTCTTTAAAGGTGTGGGTGAGATAATTTTACCCATTTTAGCAAAATCATACCTGCTATATTGTGTAAAATCTGTCACACACTGTGGTAGCAGACCTTTGAAAAACAGTGGTTTCTTTTGTAATATTTCTTTGTTCAAAAACATATTATTAGCAGAGAATATATACAAACAGACTCCTCAATCGCTATTTTACGCTCCCTACCTCATTGTACTGCCACAAGGGTAAAGAGTCCCTTCACTCAAGATTGATTCCTGATGATTACATGGACACATTCATGTAGGCTTTTTGGCAATACAAATAATCCATTCACACATGCACTAACGTATATACAGAATTCTTCTATGCTTGTAAGTGAGGCAGCATCTTTTTCTCCCAGATCAACATAAAAATGCAGCGGATGTCAAAGAAGAAATAGACTGCAGCCTGCTGAGAACTACAAGGTTGAAGAGAGGCTGTGGGATAGATTGAAATACATCACGGATCAGAGTCAGCCTAATATCCCATACTTTGACCAGAAATGTTGATAAATACTTATGATGGTCTTAGCAGGTAGAAGTCTCTAGCTGATCTTGTCCAACAAAGAAACTAAGCAAGATTGGACTGGTTAGTACATGGATCGGAGTCCATCCATACTTCCAGAGTTGTAGACTAGACTGGGAAGTTAAAAAAAAAATCCATCAAGAAGTCAATGGTACACCACTTCTGTATCATTCCAGGTTGGCTCAAGGGTGTCTTCACATTCATACTGGGCTACATCAGAAGCACTGAACCACTCAGATCAGCTGTCAGCAATCCTTCTTTTCATTTATCTTCCTAGTCACTTATGTTTCCAAGTCAATCTCTCCCAATAATTCATGGGGCTCTGACATTATTCTTGCTATAGCATTTACTGTTGAAGTTTAGAAGCCTGGTCCCATCCATTAAAGCAATGGTCTCCAGCCTCCTGGTGATTTCACATGTTTGGGAGTCCAGGGGTCACAGTAGAAGGGCAATGATGAAAACTCAATGGAGCTATTTTTTTTATCCCCTTAGCTTGGGATTGGGGAGCTTTTGTAGGTTTCTTACTTTTTTAAAAGCTGCGTTAACCTTATTGTAGGACATACACTAGAATTTCAATCTGGTTCCTCCCTAAATGTGGTGAGGATTTGTGTCCCCAATTTCAGCAATGGCAATTATAGGACAATGTAGGGTGCCACACAGGTAATCAGGAACTACATGTAGCCTCAGGCCACACATTTCCCACCTCTGTATATACTCTTTGTAGAGTTACACAAGAGGAAAAATTCCAACTTCTCCCTCTCTCTCATAGCTTCAGCTAATCTATTTCTGATATGCATATCTTTAGCTTTTCTCTTCTACTCCCTACTCTTACAGGATTTTTCCCCCATCTTTCCTATCTCTTTTGCACCATTATAGAAAGATAAAGCTCCTTAATTATTAAACCTGCCTCCACTATCTTATAATCTAGTCTCGTGAAAGGATGATAATCTATTTCATGAACTTGTTCATCTCGCCTCAACTTATTACTTTTCAAACAAAAGTTTTGAAGCTGTACAACTGCTTGTAATTCTCCAAGAAGGATCTTCATGACTTCAAAACTCTGCATGTAAGAGGCTTCTAGGATGTTCAGACTCACTTTAAGAAAGATCTCCATGCTGCATAGTTTCCTTAATTGGCCAGTGGGATACTTAAGCTTTTTTCTATGAGCCATATCACTTGCTTCATCTTGGCTTACAACTTCTCTCAAGGAAAAGAAATTCCTAACAGTGTTATATGTTGCTTTCTTCCTCTGCCACAAATACATGCAGCAAAGCTTTTCTTTTTCTCTGTCCCTTCCCAAAAAGGACTATCTGAACAAAGAATATTACTGTGATTTGTCAAATCCATTATACCCCCTACTATCTCAAACTGTATTTTAAAATATGGTACCAGAACCATTATATTTCAAAAACATTTTTGTATCTCATGCAACAATAAAGACATGCCATTACAGAAATGAAAATGATTAATCAAACACAATGTAATGTCTAGTACTGCTAAAATGTCTACAGCAGTTAAACATATCACAATGTACTGTACAAGCAAGCTCCACTGAAATCAGTGAAAGTTAAGTCATTCTCAGGATACGACTCCTGCTTCAGATTTAAACAAAGCAGAAAAAAACTCAAAACTCCTGAATGAAAGACATACCCAATGCCCAAAGTTCTTATAAATGAGGGCAACATTAAAAATAGCACTGACTTATAATGTACCATTGTGAAAATCAGTGAATATGCTACTGATTTCAGAAAGAGATAAGGTGGTAATCATGTGGTACAGAAAAACTCAATTTGATATACTGAAAGTCAACTGTGAAGGAACAGCATTTGATAGTAATCATGTCATCCTATATACAACACCGCCACTTGAACAATTAGTACAGATCACAGAACAAACAGCATTTGTTTCCCTCTTTTATTTAAAAAAAAAAAAAACCCTCCAGCAATCAAGATCATTTGTTATGTTCCACTTCCAATGGAGCCCCCATTTTGTGATACACAGCAAACAAAATTATAAATATAAAACTCACCAATTTTTTCGAATTGCACTTTCAAATTCTCTTTGGTCATAAACAGGGCAAGAAAAAGGTACCTTGTAAGCTGTTTCCTTTTCCTTGGCTATGTTTTCAAAAATAAGTCACAACAGCGTAACTGATAGGAGGTACTGCCAACTTAAAGGCAATCTCAGAAAATTATTTCATTAGGCAGCAGTTTTGCCTCTACAGGGGGAAAAAAAAGTATTTATTCCACTGACCGAAGTCTCTAGAAGCTACAAAACTGTAGAAACCAGTGATTTATTCTGGCTTTCAAGATATGTAAATCAGCTACAGAGACCACTACTATATCATCCTCCAAGCTCCAGATGTTCCCAAACTGAGGCCACTACTTATAATTTTCTTGGCAGTGTCATACTCAGCTCCACCTCACACCACGTTTTTTTAAAATCAGGCTGGAGGAGGAACTACTATTTAAAGGCACAGACATTAAATAAACCCTTGTAGTCAAAGTTCAATAAACCCACTTGGAAGAAAAACAAAAAACATGTTACCTATGGCAAAATGTGTAACAATAAGGAGGGAGAAGCTCAGGAAACTGAAAGTTCAAGTAAGCTCACCCTGACTTAAACCATAATGGAAAACTTGTGGTCTGAGTGATGCAAGGAAGAGGGAGTAAAAAAAAATTAGAAACTGCTACCCCGAGAACAGAATAACACTTTGGCGCCCATATATAGTAATTCCCTCCCTCAACCCCCAAGTTGGTTCTGTTGCCTTCACTGTTTGTATATAATTTTGATTTAGTCAACCAAGATGTTGGGGGGGGGGGAAGTAGATGCATTTTCATTCCAGGAAACTGAACCCAGATTATCCCAGTAAGAGGACTTGTGGTGACAAATTTCACCAAGTTCAGATGGCAAAATAGTTAGTAAGCTGCTAAATTTACCCTTTCTGCCCATAATGAAGCCAATCTTAGGACTTCAGGATGAGATCAGCTGCAAAATCCAAATATTTTGTACAAGAATGTGCCAGCCAGAAACAAACAGTCACAGCTCTGTGATCTTTCCCAACAAACATAAAGAACAGTAGCCTGTACTTTAAAAGTTTTAACTTTAAAAGCAACACGGGCAATCATTTTGCAGCCTCACCTTCTTGCCTGAGGATAATATTCTCTAGGAATATTCAGTAGTTGAAAATAATAGTCTACACTGTGATGATTTTCTACAGAGTGGCATTTTTATAACGAAAAGATATTCTTGCAAAACTTCTGGGAATATCTGTCTGTCTGTCTGTCCATCCGTCCATCCAACAAATACTACATCTATATCTAAAATTACATGGTCAGCATGAAATTTAAAAAGCTTCTGAAATGTGTTTTCACAGTATTGTTTATTGACATTGCAGTAAACAATAGGATAAAGTCAGTGACAGATCACTTCTGCTTCATGCAAATTTAAGGAACTAACTGTGCTTTTATTGCATTTCCATTGTACTATTTGTACCTGCATTTGTGGATGTTATCCTGAGACCTGATACAGATAAGCTGGTGAATTACCTGACCATTTTATCTGTATAGTTGTTGGGTAAACTACCGACCAGTTCCTTAATTCTTCTTTTTTCCCATGGGTTATCATAACAGCATTTTTTGCGGTCAGCAGCTTTGTTTTATTCCCAGTGTCTTAGGTTCTCTTTGATCACAGTTTGACAGGTAATTACAGAACCTCAGCACTATACAAGAAGCTAAGAAAACAAGATTTTAAATTGATTTGTTGGAATGTTGATTATTGTAAATATGCTGGATTTGGATACAGTAAAGAAAGCATTCCTTCCGACCACAGGTGATAGAGAAACCATTAAAATCTAGGCAAGATCTCAAATGTGCCGAAGATTTGTGGTAATAGCAAGAAACAAGGTGACATAAATTTCATTTATGTTATCTCATAGCATTTATTGATTCAAGTAAAATATATTTTTTCCTTCAAAGGTACCCATGTCAGCTCCATTTTAGGTGAAGTGTTACCAATCAACTGTATTCCAACATGAAGAAATAATAATAATTTATAATAATAATAGTAATAGTAATAATATTGCAAAGAAAACAGTGATTGGTAGACATCAGTTATATGATTCAGACTGTGTTTTGAATTGACAGCTATACTTCTTTAGGATATTGACCTAATAATGACGTATGCCACATTCTTCATGCTTAATTCTTCCAGCTTCCAGGGCTTGCTAACCAAACCAGGCCACCCATGTTTCACTGACAGTCTCCGCATAACTTCTCCAAGGTTATCTCTGTCTCCTTTAGAAAAGAGCAGTCTTTTTTTTTTTTAATTATTCCACTGACAGAAAGAGGCAAGTCAGAAAAAAAAGAAGGGGGCAGACAGCATGATCTAGTAAGTCATTTGTAGATAATTAAAAATATCTGAACATTACATCTTATATACTGCCATTAGAATCTTGGCACAGAACTCACATTCTCATCATTCCACCATTTTGATACATTTTAAAAAAATCAATCTAATTTGAAAAAAACATGATGGTGATCTCACATGGAATATCTGGCAGCAAAATCTAATCAATAGAGTGATTTTTTAAAAAAGAAAATAATCATATAAGGACCACCATTTTTCCTGTATACTAGCTGTTGTTCAAATGGTATTTTTGGAACTTTTAGTGATTTGTTCAGGAGGTCAAGTTGTACTTATGTACCATATATCAGCTTATTCCAGATGCCTTCTGCTACAGTGTCTAGTGGAAGAATCAGACATACATTTCAGGAACCTGGTAGGCCTTATGCTGCTGATCCTTGCAATAAAATAACCCCCACACGATTATTCTGTTTATTCTGGTGGCTTGCAGTTTAGGATGATATGTGAACTAAGCCACCAGGACTTGTTCAACAAATCATAATGATAACCATGGATGGGTGGGTGACCTTACCTAGTCTTGTGACTAGCTTAAAACAGAAGTGAAAGCTTATGCTTCCTCTAGATGCCATATGTAGAAGAGGGTTTTTTGACACACACACCCCTGCGCTCAAGACTATTTTTTTGCAGCCAAAAATAGTAGTAGTAGTAGTAGTAGTAGTAGTAATAATGTGATGAGTATGCTGTTAAAAGAATCATGATGTAGAATGGGGAACAGAATCTTCTACAGGCTTTGTTTATGCTCAAATCCTGATTCCCTTAGTACTTCTTACTATCTTTTTTAAACAGGATGTTCAAAGTAAGCATTATTTTTCAGCCACTTTTGGAGGTACAGTATCATTTGTTTCTATAGCATGTGGTTCATGAAATGCTTAGCATCTTTACCACGTAATGGGAAGATCTCAAATCTAACATTTTCTCTATGCATTGAATGCAATGCATGTAGCCTTCTTTCAGCCCCAGGCAGGCATCCTGTACTTTGCCTTGCCCCATGGTTATTTCAGTCAGCGGAGAAAGTTGCAACACATGCTCAGGTTAGCAGAAGGTCGTTTGACGCAGGCACTATGTGGTCAGCTTGAAAACCTCTGATCGAGTTCCCAGTGTGTTTCACAAGGTGCGGTGTTTAAAATGTATACCCATATAATTGTACCTGCACGTAACAGTTGAAATGAGTGAGAACCCCAACTTCTATTTCACAACTTTGTATAGGAAGCCGAACATTCAAGTAATTGCTTTTAGGCTGGTAGGGAAAAATATTTCACATATGTTACTGATATATTAAGTGCTATTTAAAGTAAAGAATGCATCTTGAAAATGGAACTCTCTGGCTTTAGTTGCCTAAGTTATAAATAAATGTTTCTTTTACTTCCAAGGATAATTTATATTATCTTGAAATGACTATTACATATTACATGTGCAGGAATGGACTGGATGTATGCTTTTTAATGTCAGAGGCTAACGTTCTGTAAAATAACTGCATCACAGGGAACCTGAGAGGCTTAAATGAAGTATGCCAAGCACAGGAGCAAGAGCACATTCTGACAAATGGACTACTTAGCTAGTCTTCCTCTTCTCCCGTCTTCTGGGGGTTGCCAGGTACAGGTGGAGGGTGCCAGCTATATTCGGACTATGAAACACAGATTTGATACAAGGTCTTACACAGCGTCAGTTTGATAGAAAAGGAGCTGCACTTTGCATGATATGAACGGTGATAATTTCATAGTGAAGCATCAAGAGTGCATGTTTCTGCAAAAGTTAATCATAGCAATCTCCCATTGAACCAGTGAGCTTCAGATCTCAAGTCTGTGCATTTCTAAGCATGTTCACTAAAGATCAGTCATCAAGCATAACTACTACTAATAAAAAAAACTTGAAACTTTCTTTCTTTGCCTGATGTTTCTTTCTCTGTCCTAGTGGACTCTCATGTATTACTGTATTCCAACTAAGATACCAAATTTGTGGTCCTGGATGGCACAGAGCCTAAACATGTGATTGTTTTTCCTATTCACACATGACTGCCATTTTTCATGAATATAGTAATGTAATTTCAATTCAACAAAACTGTATTACATAATAAGTATTACTTGAATAATAAATCTTACTTAAATATTAAGTAATATATTTAACTGTGTTCTTTGCCATATAAAAGTACACAGATCTGACACTCTGGAATTTTAATTAATAACTTGCTTTTCAAAATATCCTTAAATTTCGATTTATCTAATTTTTAAATAACCGTGATCCAGAAGATTCATATTTAATATAACATTATATATATTGTATGGATGTGGCTGTTCCTTCGCGGGGCCTGGAGGCTGTGGGGGCCTGGATGGGGAACAACAGGCTTCAACTGGACCCTGGTAAGACGGAGCAGCTGTGGGTTCGGGGCTCTTCTGTATCTGAGGTTTTATCATCTTTGGTTCTGGATGGGGCTGCACTACCCCAGACAGACCCAGTGTGCAATCTGGGGGTCCTCCTGGACTCACAACTCCTGCTCGAATAGCAGGTGGCAGCTGTGGCTAGGAGGGCCTTTGCTCAACTTCGTGTTGTGCACCAGCTGTGCCCCTTCCTGGATCGGGAAGCCCTTCTCTAAGTCACTCATGCCCTGGTCATCTCCCACATAGACTACTGCAATGCACTCTACATGGGACTACCCTTGAAAAGTATTTGGAAGCTACAGCTGGTAGAGGATGTGGCGGCACAGGCAGTTTTGGGTGCCCCTAGAGCTGTGCATATAACACCTCTGCTGTGTGAGCTGCATTGGGTGCCGGTTTGCTTCCGGGTCCTGTTCAAGGTGATGGTTATGACCTTTAGAGCCTTCACGGCATGGGCCCAGGTTATCTGAGGAACCACCTTGTCCCAGTTACATTGGCCCATCCCACTAGGTCCAGCAGGAAGGACATATTATGGACCCCATCAGCTAAAGAATTTTG